AAATAATCACACACATTCTACTAGAGGGATTGACACCAAGAAGCTCGTGCTTAAAGATTGGGTTGGAGGAACATAAATGATAAGCAGGCATGGCATAGAAAGTGGACTTGATGGGCGATCGAGTTGTTGCGAAAAAAAGTCCACCGGACAATTTGCTCAGTTTTCTCTAAACGTCCATTGAGCTATACAGCTAAGGCACAGGGCCCATTAAAGGCCCCCTTAAAAGCTATTCTCTTGTCCCCACTTATCAATTAAATAATTAATCATCGAGTACCTTTCACATGACCTCCCATCACCATTCACTACTGCCCCATGCTTTATTCCTCCCAGAGTAGTAGCAATTCAAATTCTGATTCATTCGAAAGTTCAAAATTGCAAACGAGTCCAGCGACTCGCGAGCACTCAAGTCGACCTCGACTTTATTCCTCCCGATATTGCTATTCAAATTGTGGTTCATTTAAAAATTTAAAATTCCAAACGAGTCGAGCTCGATTTTATTCCTCTCAATATTACAATTCAAATACTGGTTAATTTGAAAATTCAAAAAAGTTTGATCTGCGCTCGTCAAGGTCCATACTCGACTCGACTTGTTTGAAGTCCTAATTTGACCCCTCTTAGTACAGAGTTGGACACAAACATTGTTTGAATTAAAGGGCTACCAAGTCCAACTTACATACAGCTATGAATATATACTATTCGTCTGCAAAGCTTTTAAGTTTTTGGTCGAGGATGGAGTTACGTAGCTCTAGCTACTATCCTTAGATACCTGAAGATACTCGAGCTAATAGTTATTGGGTATGATTTGTATTGACGTCCTAGAAAGAACATTAGAATTTTTGTTCAACAAGACTCCTAATAAAAAATGAGATCCTTTGAAAAGAATTCAGAGGTGTTAAATAAAAAGAGCCGCTCGTGAGCTCGGCTTAACTCGGCTAGTTAAGGTTGTTCAACTCGGCTCGTTTAAAGCTTATTTCCTTAACAAGTCGGGCTTGACTCGGCTCGTTAAGCCTCGAGAAGAGATATTTTTTATAATTTTTTTTTCTATAATTCAGCTCGTAAAAACTCGAGATCAGCTCGTTAATGCTCGAATTCGACTCGTTCATAATGATAAACGAGCCAAGCTCAAGCTCGATTTCTGCCTCTTTTACTTGACGAGTCTGGCTCGGCTCAGCTCATTTACAGGCCTGGAAAAGATCTTGGTTGGATTTAAGTCTTACCAGTGTCACATTTGCTTGAGTAAAAAGTAAACTTATCGTATACAATTAATACAAGGTAACATGATGAAAAATCTAACCAACATTTTGGCATATTTCTCGTGCTGCATAGGGAACTTTTATCAGTGTGTGATTAAGGCCAAAATGTTTACATCGAAAATCAATTTCTACACAACGGAGGTGCAAGGAGAAAGTCGTTTGTGAGGTGCAAATTGCATTTTAGTGTATAAATGGAATGAATGCTATTTAGAAGTACAAAAAAAAAATAAAAAAAAATTACAAGATGAAGCATCAATGTGGAAGGAAAATGAAAAGATATGGAGCTTAATGATATACTAGTCTATAGTAATCATTTAATGGCCATGAAGATACTTATGAACAGTAGTACTAGTTTAGTAGCTTTGGCAGAGAGGGAATCTACATTTGTGGATCTCTAGGCACTTTTTTTGTTGTAGTTTTCACTGTCGCACACATATTTAGACTATAGGATAGTAATTATCCCAAGATTAGTCACAAAATAAAGTCAAATAATCTTCAAGTGGAAGGCCATGAAATCAAATTATATAGAGAAGCCCAATAGTAACTATACTGGGCCGGCCTGCTTTTTTTTTAAAAAAAAAAATGATTAAATTCAAATGGATTGGGTTTCTCGAAAATTCTCACACATACGTGGACCGAGCAAACAGTGCGCGAGACTTCTACGGACGTGGCGCAAACTGGGAAACTTAGGTGAACCTGCATGAGACACGTGTCACCTACTCTACTCTTTTGGTTGCCACGTTATAGCACACTTTCGTCTATTTATATCGAAAGCCACAAGCTAAACTAGTCATTATTATCAAGTACTTCACAACTCATTGCATATAGTTGTATAATAATACAATTAGTAAATTTGAAGAGATAATATAGATATGGCGGACATGAGAGGAAGCGCAGCCGCGTGCGACGACAGGTGTGGCTGTCCTTCGCCGTGCCCCGGCGGCTCTGCTTGCCGGTAAGTATATGCGCACCAAAAATTGAAAAAAGAAAAACCGAGCTAATTCTAGATTTGCTGGGGTTTAAATTCTTATTAAACTTTTAGAAATTCGTTTATGCACACGATTAACGTTTTCTATAGAATCTAACAACTGAAACTTAATTTGATCTTTATTGTTCTAAGATTAAATTCTTAAGAATTCGTTTACTTACCTTTGGTATCAGAGTTCGGCTTAATTTGATGTTTAAGCACTATTCTAATTAGAATAAGATTAAATTCTTAAAAATTTGTTTATGCACATAGATCGTCGTTTTTTATAGAACCCAACAACCAACATCCAACAACTGGAGCTTGACTTTGGTTTAATTCGATCGATTTAGAGCATAGGTGGTTGACTATGTACAATAATGTATAATAGATTAAAATTGCAAAAAATGATTCTATTAATCCGAGACTTTAAAAACACATACATACAAATAAACACTCACATGCATATATACGGGCCATAATTTTTGAATTCGAATTAGAACATGCGTGATTAACTAACTAATTGTGTACAGGCGCATCAGCGTATAATAGATTAGATTAGAATCGCAAATAATTTTTTTTTTTTTTTAATTTTTTATTGCAAGAATTCTATCAACTCTAGGCTTTAAAAACACGTACATAAATATAAACACATACATACGAGCCACAATCTTTGAATCCTGAAAATTTTCAGGTGTGCGTCGGGCGGCGAAGGAGTGACCTCGATGGAGCACAAGCAGTGCACGTGTGGAGAGCATTGTGGTTGCAACCCGTGCACGTGTGGCAAGATCGAGAGTCGAGGCACGGGCAAGGCCTTTTGCAAGTGTGGTGCTGGCTGCGCGTGTCCCACTTGCGCAGCTTAATCGATGATTTGTGTTTGTGGAATAAGTTGGCTTTTTATGATGTCAAGTTTGTGTTGACGAATAAATAGATGATGCGCATGAATAAATGGTGTATTCAGCCTAGGCTATGTTATGTATGTATGTATGTATGTATGTACAAACAAACGTGTAGGGTGGTTACTGTTGTGCTCTTGATGTGCAATATATGGCTCAGAGGGTTGGTGACTAAATTGTGTTTGGTGGCATTGTGGAATTGTCTGAATTCAGCATATTAATTGGTTTTGTAAGCATTAACAATCAAATACTTTTATCTTGAACAACCAAAAGTGACAACAGCTTGGAGTAATAAACGTACAAAAACCAGAAGAATTACGAAGTTTTATTTTTGGCAAAACGAATTAATATTTCCATTTCATTATGATTGATGCATGGGCAATTGATGCACCAATATAATTGAAAAACCTGAAAAAATGTTTGTGGATATTTTTTACCAAGACAAAAAATGTTTACAACTTTCATTAATAGTCGCAATATTTACCTGCAATTTGCCAAAGATTGTTGGACTGACAGGATAATAACAGCATAGTACAATGTGACTGCAGAGTTTTTGCCCCTTGAATCAAAGGTGTAAGCTTTAGTCCAAAACCTGTAACACTAACATAACTAAAAACTAAAATCGAGCAATTGTCTTTACCATCGAAGAACAAAATGGTTTCTAATATTTACAATCAGCAACTTCAGAAGGAAAACGATAAATTTCTTTTCACGGCAAAGAACTCCCGAGCTGCGGTTGACTAACCGACAGTCTAACTGTTTGCATATTGAACGATCTGTGTATATCGATACACTCTTCAAGATCTTCATCGCAAGCCAAAAGAACCCACTCAGCATCATCATCAAGATATTTCAAACTGCCATTTCCAATTTCGAAACGCCTAAACACCTCTTCCTGCAAATCCTTAAAATCCCACATCGGTTTCAGCTTGAACCGAACATTTTCATCCCCTAAAGAAGCTTTTACTCGAATAGTAGTAGCCACATTTTGTGCAATAATGTTATTTTTCGTCACAGGTCGAGTTTCAACAGGTGAATATTCTCGTAAATTCTTATGGCTATTTGACCTGATAAGAATCTGCTTTGTTCGATCTCGGGTGTTCTCGTGCAATTTTGCTTCACTTTGCGCTCTCTTTAGCCTTTCTCCTTTCTGTAAGCCATTAGACAAACAGTAACTGGAACTCGAGGTTGATATTGGAACAGTGGTTATGTTTGGTGTCGAAAAATTGGAGCTTTCTGGTGGATTTGAGGAGATAAGTTGCGGAAAGTTGTTATAGAACGAATCAAGCTGAATCGAACTGTGAGCTCCCTCGACTGAATCAATCACGACTTGAAGTTTCTTCAATGAATGGCCGACTTTCTTGATCTTTCTGGAAGGCCAACGAGTAATCCCGTGCTGTCTGCATATTCTTTTCAAGGTAGTTGGGCACACTGAAACAGAAAATGGAATGAATATTTT